GTCTGTCCCTGCTTCTTTTTTTTTTTTTTTTTCTTTGTGTGTGTTGTTCAGTGTGTGTGTATATATTTACCTTTTTTATTTTTTTCTGGGGAATAGATGTATTTTTGTCCCATGCATGACCCCTGGTTCACACTATTCTGCACACTGTGGGTAACGGGAGTTGATGTGATTGCCGCATCATGTTTTTCTTGTGAGACATGCAAGGATGACATTCATTCTAAATGGCACTCCCACGCATCTCAACCTGCAGCACAGATGTGGGAACCACACGGAAACCGCATGGTCAAAAGGACTGCAGCATCCCGGCTGATGTGCTTTGAGCGAAACACCTGGAACCCCATCCTATTCAAATGAATGGGCTGTCCTGCCTGGGCAAACACTAGTGTGAACCGGTCCTGACCAGTTACTCTTGACTGACACACAGCTCTGCTAGAAGTTTCAACAACTCTTTTGGTAAAATAATACTTTTTGAGATTAGTTTTGAACTTTCCTCCAGTTAGTTTAAGGTGATGTCCCCGTGTTCATGTTCCTGGACTTCACCCCCTTAATGCATTTAAAGGTTTCAGTTCCCTTTCCCTTCTTTCCTCCAGATTGTACATATTAGGCTACTTTCACACTGATCCACAGCAAAAACGCATTGGCGGTTTTACCGCACTTGTTCCATGCTTTCTGAGCATTTGAAAGGATATGTGACTTAAAAACTGTACCAAAAACGCTTCTCATGTGTTTTTTGAGGTGCTTTTCAGGCTTTTTTCATTTATTTCAATGGTAAGAAGCGTTTTTGAGGCTTTTTTTAACTTGCCAAACATGCCCCAAAGATGCTGCAAGCAGGAGTTTTTACACTGCAAGCGAAATAACTCAGTGTGAAACCATACATAGGTATACATTCACATACATAGGGAAGCATTTTTCTTTAGCATTTCAACTTAAGCTTTTTTTAACGCAAAAACGCTTCAAAAACTCTCAGTGTGAAAGTAGCCTGAAGTCTCTGATGTTTTATCCCTCAGGCTAGGCTAACACTATGAAATCATACAGGAAAGCGCGCTTCATTCTAGTGCAATTCATGTGTGATTAGATTTGATTTTACTAACTGCTAAAACCAATGGCCACTACTCCATATTCTTACTACTAGACCTCTCTGTGGCTTTTGATACTGTTGACCACCCCCTCCTCCTTTAAAAACTCCACTCTCTTGGCCTCCGAGACTCTGCTCTCTCTCCTGGTTCTCCTATCTATCATAGCGCTCCTTCAGTATTGCCTATAACTCTCTCCTCCTCTCCACTCCCTCTTGCTGTAGGGGTCCCTCAAGGTTCTGTCCTTGGACCCCTACTCTTCTCCTTCCTTGGTCACTTGATAAACTCTCATGGCTTCAAGTACCATCTCTATGCTGATGACACACAAATCTATCTCTACTCCTCACCCCTTTAGTCTCCTCTTGCATTACTAACTGATATATCAGCATGGATGTCACACCACTTCCTCAGTCTGTCTAAAACCGAACTGATAATCCCTCCAGCCCGTGCCCCCTCCCCTGACTTCTCCATCAAGATCAATAATACAACCATCAGTCCTTCACCTCATGCCAGAGTATTAGGTGAAATCTTGGACACTAATCTGTCCTTTCAGCCCAAAATCCAATCACTGTCCAAATCTTGTAAACTTCATCTCCAAAATACACCCCTTTTTAACCACTGAAACCACTAAGCAACTTATTCACTCCCTTGTTATCTCTCACCTTGACTATTGTAACTCCCTCCTCATTGGCCTACCGCATCGCAGGCTATTGCCTCTTTAGTCTATCATGAATGCTGCTGCCAGACTTATCCACCTTACCAAACATTCATGTCTGCCAATCCCTCCACTGGCTTCTTGTTGCCCAATGAATAAAATTCAAAACATTAACAATAACATATAAAGCCATTTATAACTCTGCCCCAATTTACATCACCGATCTTGTCTCAAAATATCACCCAAACCGTCCTGTCTGCTCCTCCCAAGACCTCCTGCTCTCTAGCTCCCTTGTCTCCTATTCTCATGCTTGTTTCCATGACTTGTCCAGAGCCTCACCCATCCTCTGGAAATATCTACCCCAATCTGTCCGCTTATCACCTACTCTGCCCACTTTTAGGCAATCCCTGAAAACTTGCCTTCACCTAATAACCGAATCTTCTATTTCTCCTCTCAGTTCATCCCCCCACAGTTATTACCTTTTTGTACCACCAGCTCTTCCCTCTTAGATTGTAAACTCCAAGGAGCAGGGCCCTCCTAACCCTATTGTATTGAACTGTATAGTCTCCCTTTATATTGTAAAGTACTGAGCAAACTGTTGGCGCTATATAAATCCTGTATGATAATAATGAATCGCACTGCATCACACTAGAGTAGTGCATACATTGCAACCAGATTGCATGGTAGTTTTGTACCATGCGTTCCGGTGCAGGCAAACGCACTGTTTGCGAACTGACATTGAGGTGTTAACATTGCACTGACACCTGCTGCAGATTGCAACTGCAGTGCATTTTGAACGTGGTGCAGGAAATGCACATGGATCGCAGGTTTCCTACAACATGTTCTGTTGTGAATCCAGCTCAGACCTTTCACCAATTTTGTTACCCGTCTAGGGACTTGGTTCAATCTTATCAATGGATCTTTGTTTTGTGAGGCCTCTAGCAATGAACACTGTATTCTAAATGAGGCCTAATGAACTTTATTTAAATGTCACACAGGTTTATTTACTAAAGCTGGAGAGTGCAAAATCAGGTGCACTTCTGCATAGAAACCAATCAACTTCCAGGTTTTATTACCAAAGCTTAATTGAACAAGCTGAGGTTAGAAGCTGATTTGCTACTGTGCACCAGTTTTAGTAACCCCCCCACACACACAGTATGATTTTATTAGGTTCTATTGGCCAGTGCATGGCAGTGGACTGCCTCATGTTGTGCTGAAAAACGTTTAGCCTGCTGTACTGTTTTTCAGGGGGGTGGTGCGAACCAGCCAGGTAAGAGACAAGGCCTTGTCTTCTGGTAGGACTGTGGTGAAACAGACACCCAGCACAGTCCCACCGCATCTGGTATGAAGATTTATGCAGGCCATAGATGGGTCGAAAACCGGCTGTTTTAAAAAAAACCCGAAAAATCGGTCGTTCAATAGGCCAACGTTACCACCAAAGGTAAAAAAAAATTGGCCGATTTTCGTCCCGTCTACGGCGGGCATTTAATTACTTCTGTCCCTGCAGAGAGCTCCGCTATTATATTTGACATGAAAAAGTATTGCGGTTGCAACATTGTATCTATTTGTATCCATTTCAGATACAGATGGTTTTATTCAGATTCAAATAGATACATTGTTGCAACCACAATACTTTTTCATGTCAAATATAATAGCGACTGGAATTCTTATTGTTTTTCTTGCAGGTCACGGCTCATGCGCAGATTTTGCATCAGTAAAAAGATTGTCCGATTTGCCCATCATTGCCGCAAAAAGCAGCTGATTTTTTTTTTTTTTCTTCCAATTTTAACGATAAAAAAAAGTGCCAAAATCCAGAAAAACGGCCGACCAATTAACCCATTAATTGGCTGAAAAATTGGCTCTTTTTGACCCATCTATGGCCTGCATAAGGGCTTATGTACACTGCAGCTGATAAACTCACGTTTAGGAGCTGTTCAGCATTTTTGTTTCAGCAGCCCCTGAACTCACCCTAATGTTTTCCTATGTGTCCACGTACACATCGTTGTTTACAGTCCATTTATTTGAACGCAGAAAACTTGCGTTAAGCAATAGATTTTATCAGCGTTTCAAACGCAAACCACATTTCCAGATGCTGTCCAGAGCCTTTTTTCATCATGAAAAATGCATGCAAAGGGTTTTGCTGGTACTCAAATGGACCTGCCACACCATACTTTGAGGTTTTGCATGAAAACAAATATGTTAGACACTACTGCAATAACTTCTACAAAAAATGAGCTGGAACACATCCAAACACCAGACAAAACACAGCTAATGTCAACAAATACTGCTCTCTCTGCTTCTGCTTTCTCTATTTCTCTTAAAATGTCTGAAATAGTTAATTTTTTACTGTTTTTTTTCAGTGCTTTCTTGGCATTTTGGAAGGTCTCTTGAGGTTATCTTGAAAAAAAAAAAAAAAAAAAAAAAAAAACGCTTCTAAACACAAATGCGCATAAACTGATGTTTTGTTAATCTACATTTTCCAACAGTCAGTTACCATCATTCAGAAGTGTCCTGTGTACATGTGGCCTTAAGTGTATATGAGCTCTAAAAAGTATGGGTAACCTATTTTTCCATTTTCTAATTAAATTATTATTTTAAATGATTTACTTTTTTTGTAGTGTCACCAATGGTGGAAAGACAACTCTGACGAAAAGGCTAATTGGTAACTTACCTAACTGTTGTGTGGTCCACCAAGATGACTTTTTCAAGGTAAGTTTTGCCTGTGATTTTTTTTTTTTTTGTTTTTGTTTGTTTTGTTTTGTTTTTTTTTTTGTTTCCTGATGTCTGTTGTGCAGTTGATGGCTGTCTGTCAGTATTCCTCTATACTTGGTATGGTATAGCATACTTGCTGTGGTACAGTTAAAGTGCCTGCAGCTAAGTTCTTTTCTAAAGGTTTTCCTCCTGTTGCATGTCTTCTCTGAATCCAACACTTTCCTTTTGGGATTAGTTTGTCTATAATGGGGCAAACATATCTTTTTGAAACCGTTTTTTCTATCAATGTTCTCTTCCATTGTGTGTGTCGGAGCTGCATCATTTGCAGCATTGTTTATTGCTCACTATGTTTCAGCCACCAGATGAGATAGAAGTTGGTGAAGATGGCTTTAAACAATGGGATGGTAAGAACGGTGTTCGCTGTAGGAAGCAGTAATGTATATCATAAGTACACTTTATTTTATTTTTTTTAATCTATATACTTAAAAAACACATTGAACAGTTTTGCTAGTTTCCTTTTCTGATTGACTTCTCAATCTGCAGTGATCACGTCCATAGACATGGAGGCCATGGTGAACACAGTAACAGCCTGGGTTGAAAATCCTGTGAAGTTTGCTCGATCTCATGGAATATCCCTTTCGGCCTCTTCCAACTCTGATGTTCAGATACTGATTCTGGAAGGATTCTTGCTTTATAATCACAAGTAAGTATATTTATGGCTTTTCATGAATCTTCTTAAGACTGTGAAAACTGGCATATGTATCTGTACTGTGGTGGCTAGTGCCATTGGTTTGTATTATAGGCATAGTTCACCTCATGTAAAATGGTAATAATTGCACTCAGATAAATTGTGCATTTATTCAATTTTTGCATAAAAGCCTGCAAAGCATTGCTACTACATTGCTTCCCTCTAGGTCTGCACAGAGTGGGGAACCTTCAGTTATGCACCTAGAGGAAGTATTGACTACACGTGTGGTGAGGTTACTGCACTTGTGCTCTACTGCAGTCACTCTGCTGTGGTGGCAGATGGGATTTGTAGTCCTTCTATTTACAGATCCCTGTAAATGGATGACATGGTTGTGTGGATGGAGCTACTCACACCATGCCAAACCAAAACAGAAGGCAACAAGGAAAAGCACCCTTTAATTCAAGGCGGGGGGGCTTGCCCAAACAAGCTTTTTCCTTTAATAATTGCTGGGGCTTCTTATGCACTGTATAAAGCATCATGAATACAGCACTCTGTTCTGACAGTGGTAAGGGCACTTCCTGTCTGCAGCCAGAATAAAATCTAGTCTTTGCTCAGCTATTCACAGGAGGCCTTGTATGTTATGAATAAATGCAAGGCTTCCTGGCTGAGGTGAACATTTTGATATGATCTGCCCACCTTTACACATGAGCCAATCAGAGGAAGCCTTTTTTTCATTGAATAAATACAAGCTTCCTGTGAATGGCTAAGCAGTGCTCAGCCAAACTCAGTTTGTGTTCTAGGAATAGGGCAGAAAGTCCCAATTCTGCTGCCAAATTGCAGTGCTGCATACAGTTTATACAATGCTGACAGCGGCTACAGCAATAAGTGCAGAAAATAGTTGGGGCCAGCTTAGCCAAAATGAAATATTTAAAGTAACACAAAACCTGCAGTTAGTCTCTAAATTGGACTAAGCCTTTTAACATCTGCCTCTGTAATGCAGAGGTTAGTGAGAGTTTAAACAGTATACTACTGGCTGGGGATTTGAAACTTAAGCTACGTCTTCTTGCTGAAGCCTTGAGTCTAGTGCACAGCTGCTGACTATATCCAGACTTTAGTGCAAGATTCTACAAGTAAACCAGTCTCAGTATTTCTAAATGAGAATGACTGACTGCAAGCTAATGGCTGTGGTGACCTCTGGATTCCTCATCTTAATCTGTGCTTGCATGCACTTTAAATTAATTTGGTCTCCCCTTTACAGGTTGCTAGCAAGCATGTGCACTGAACGCTACTACTTAACCATTCCATACGATGAGTGCAAGAGGAGGCGTAGGTATGTATTAGTCTATGCAGAATTCTCTTTTGTAAGATTTAACTGTTCCTAAATTTTTAGTGTTTTGTAAGAAATACTATTTTTTAAAAGGTGGATTAGATACTCTAGGTCACATTTTCCTTACTTTACTAGCATAAACAGTGTAGTTACTCCATATTGACTGGTTAAAGCTGAACAGCAGGCAGATGGATAAATACAAACAAAATGCACATGTGGGGGTGGTTTATATGCCAGAGGATTTGTATTTCTGTCCATCCAGTCCTTAGAGTTGCAAAGCCACCTGGTAGACACTGCTTGTAAAGAATGCAGAGGTGTCACTCTCCACCTCCAGCCTGTGGCTGGACTGTGAAGAAGAAACCACAGCCTGGAATCTCTCTGCTCTCTTGCATCAGCAAGTCCTTGCCAACACAATTTCATGCAGAACAATCCTAACTCTGTCGCCCCTCTCCTAGGTTGAATGCTATGTGTTGCTGTATAGGGGATTGCAAGGGGTAGTCAGAGTCAAAATCAGGTACCTGTGCTAAATGCATACATTTAGTGACCTGTTAACAAGTAAATGCATTTATTGTCTTACATCTTCTTAGCAGCTTCACATAAAACTGACATTTCTTCCTGCACATGAGTATTTGGACTGATGGGAAGATGCATGCATTAGTTTTAAGTGCTACAATAGTTCTTAAAATATGAACCGTCTTAGCATAGCTAGTTCCCATCACTACATCCTAATTGCAAGCAAGAGTTAGGCCATTCCTGTTTTTGTACTAGTTTTGAAGGAAACCTTTCCATAAGAACATGGCAGGGACCATTGTCTACTTCTTATTCTGCACTTGCTAGTTGTACTGACTGTCTTGCGTCAATGCTTTGGGGCAAGCCTGGAAAATACATGCAGATAGGGACCTGTGACCTGCATGCCTTGGTTAGTAGCCAGTGGGTCAGAATAACAGCCAAGCAACTAGCATTTTCAGGTCTGTAAACTGAGTACTTGTATGAAAAAATGACCGCACTGCATGCTGTAAACTGTCATTGCTGTTGCTAGACCCCAGATATCTACTAATCTGGGTTAATCCTATCTCTTTAAGTCTTCTGATATATAAAGTGAAGGCATCCAACAGTGCCTGCACATACTTCCAGAGTAGTTTTCACTACTCTGGTTTGCCCAAATGTGGATCTGAATAGGCAGGGCTGCAATGTATTAAGAGGTATACACCGCATAGAGAGATTTCATTTTACCCTTCTACAAATCATTAGCAAGACCTTATCTGGAATATGCAGTTCAGTTATGGGCACCAATTCACAAAAAGGATACCAGGGAACTGGAGAAGGTGCAGAGAAGGGCAACCAGACTGATAGGCATGAAGGAGATCAGCTATGAGGAAAGATTAGAAGAACCAAATTCTCTCTTGAGAAGAGGAGATTAAGGGAGGATATGATCAACATTTATAAATACATCAGTGGTTCATATAGTGAACTTTATGATGATCTTAAAGTGAAAAACTACACCGAGGACAAGGGGCACTATTTAAGTCTAGAGGTAAAGAGATTTAATGTCCAAATACGGAAAAGTTCCTTCACAGTGAAAATGTGGAATAGACTCACTCACAAGTTTGTTTTTCCCAGCTCAGTAGATTGCTTTAAAAAAGGCCTGGATTCTTTTCTAAATGCACATTATATAACTGAGTACTAATATTTTAGTTAAAGTTAATCCTGGTAATATTCAATTGCCTCTCAAGGGATCAGGAGGGAACATTTCCCCTGCAGGAGCAAATTAGATCATGCTTTGCTAGGGATTTTTTTGCCTTCCTCTGGATCAACTGTGGGTATAGGATTATGTATAAGGGATTGTGTAGATTCTTAAAATTTTTTTATTTATTTATTTTTTTCCCCCCTTTTTTATAGGCTGAACTAGATGGACTTTTTTCAGCCAGACATGTAATGTGCAGGGCTTTGCTGGAAGGTGTAGTTGTTCGGGGCATAGTGGGTAGTGATTTGCTTGGCTAGAAAACCTTAAATGAATGCAAATTTTTTTTTTTTATAGATATAGGGGTTTCTCTCTTTTGCAGTGGCCGCAACTACACTGTTCCAGACCCACCAGGGCTGTTTGATGGTCATGTTTGGCCAATGTATTTAAAACACCGAAGTGAAATGGAAAAAAGTGGTGTAAACATTGGTAAGTGCCAATTCGGGGTATTGTTTTTTGCTGTAGTAATTCATGTTGGCTTCCTTCCAGTCTTCACTGATTTGTGCATGTGTAGGGGGACACAAACATGAACTGTCTACTTACTATCACTCCTGGCTCTAAAAAAAGGAATTTATATATTTTTTTTTTAAAGAGTTTATAGACAAATGACTAAACCTGCCATTTGATAAAAAACTGGCCAAGGCTAATCAGGAGAATGTTACAATTAAATTATTAAAAGTTTTGGTTTAGCAAGGTTAGAAAACCTTGTCTGCTTGCTATTGTATCAATTGGATAAGTAGAAATACACCCTCTCACCTTTTACAGCCAATAAAGCTTCCATCTTGGTCTCTGTTTGATCTGCAGTTGCCATGGTACTGTACATGTGATTAGCTATGACATAATTCATTTGTTGGTTTGACAGTTTGGTTGAAAGCTCATAAAAGCACACTGATAAATGTAAGTTATCATTTATGGATTAAGTTCTGCTTTAAGGTGTCTACACGTTGACTCTCTACCAGCTTTCAAAGCAGGAAAGTAAGCAACCGTCTTTATGAGGTTTTTCAGGAAGAGGTATCTATCAGCACCTTCTGTTATTTAGACATGAGATTGTTACCTGATCTGGCTAAGTGATACCTAATGTGAGAGGTCTATTAAAAGTTCATATTCAACTGTCTCACCACCCATTCCTGAAATCTTCAATTTGTTCAATAGCTATGGCCTTCTGAAAAATCTAAAATGCAGACGTATTCCTATCTATACTATGTTCCCTTCTGACCACCAGTTTTATGAAAGGAGAAATATAGCCAAAGCTCTTGATACTTTTTCTATGGATCACTGGAGAGCAGTTCATTTTGCACTTCTGTGATACATTTTCAGCCAACAGCGGGCTAAAGCCTGTTGTTGGCTGACGTCACAGAGCCAGCCCCTCCTGCCCCCTCCACAGCCCTATGCTCTAGTGAGTGCTGGACGGGCAGAGCAGAGAGCTGGTGACTGAGAGTCACAGCTCTCTGCTCAAAGTAGAGGGGAGAATTGAACGATTAGCAATGTTTGATCACTCAGTTCTCACTGCAGAGCCAGCGGTGGACAGATGCAGTATCGGATCGATGCTGCATTCACCTAGGTGAGTATAATTTTTTTTTTTTTTTTTGCAATAATTCTCTTTTAAAGTTGCCCATCTTCTCAAACATGCTTTCCATTCTTTTCAAACTATTATACTTTTAGAATGGCTGCATGTTAATAAACAAACATTACAGGACCTTACTTAACATTGTCATTATATAGCCAGGAAATATGATCATGTGACCCACCTGTGCATAAATTGTATTAAACAATGCAGAAACACAGGCAGGCAACCTTTTTAAGTTACCAATTTATGTTAAGACTTTAGCTGAACTCTTATAACTAACGTTAGCAATCTTCTTTCAGTGTCTATTGATGGCCTTCTGTCAAAGGATGAAATATTTACCAGCGTGTATACAGATATACTGAATAGATTTTTAAACACTTCCTAAGTAAGTCAGAATTTTATTTGTTAGTTTGAGATCTGCCCAAACCTTTTTGTCTATTAAGATTTGTAAATTATTATTATTTTTTTTTATAGCTGGAAGAAGTTTACACCGCAGTCTTCTAGAAATCTGGATTGATTGTGACATGCCCTATTGGAGAGCTAATTTTGTATATAGTGTTTTTTTTTTAAGTTATTTGCATTCTATTTACTTTTACATGTTAAAAACATTTTTATACCTAAGTGGGACATTCCCAGTACCTTGTTGTAGAAAGATACTGTGTGTTTTATACTGTTAAACAATTCAGCTGTACAACTATTTGTGTTTGTCTTTATGGTGTATGCCTGTGTTTCAGTTAAGGTCTCTGCCCTTTTTTCCACTCTATAAATGGCATTGCAACACAAACTGGTGTTATGATTTTTGGTAAAACAACAAATGTTGAAAGAAAATGGAGAGTTTTGTCTTGCTACATACATAATTTCAAGTCTAGATGTTGTGACCGATGCCTGCTACTGTGCCATACATTGGCCACGATAATCCAATAACAAAGAGCTTTTTTTAAAGCTAAAACCTCACCAACTAGCAATCTAAATAGAAAAATTAAATCTGGATAGGTATGGTTCTAGAAGTGCACATAATGTTAAAGGATCTATATTTCAATCAGATTATCTCTATTAAGCCTTTCTTTTTTTCTTTTTTCTTTTTTTTTTTTTTTTTTTTTTTTTTTTTTTTCTTCTTTTCTTTTCCATTTTCATAAAACATGCAAACAGTTCACATTAACCAAACTTTTGACTCCAGTTTTCCTAATTTTTAAATTTCATAGCCTACAATATATACATATATATTTATGTACAGACATATTCTCCTTTTGCCCTCTTGAAATCCAATCCCGTCAGACATCTTAAATTATTTTATATACAACAAATAATTAAGTGTTTTTCCCATTATTTAAATACACCATTTACTTAAGACTCTCCAAATGTCTGTAAAATTCTCCACATTTTTCCCCAACTTCCATTTACTTTGGAAAAAAACACAATACATCCTTTTACCCTGTTTTATATCTGACAACCCCATAGTTTCTATCCATTAATTTTCACTATCTTTAATTCCTCATCTACTAACATATTAATCACTACATTATCTACCACACTATATATATATATATATATATATATATATATATATATATATATATATAGAGAGAGAGAGAATGTTTGTAAAGCAGCAACTTGGATCCTACTACTTCACCTAAGATTCACAAGGTCCATGTGTTTGCATCAGCTGATTCCTAGTTTTGGATGCCTACAGACAGCTCTGCAGGCACCCTGTTTTTCCTGGGCTCTTGTTTGCCTGTTCTTTGTTTTTGGGGTGTGCCCAACTCAGTTTTTTTTTTTTTTTGTTTTGGGATGGGATATATAGTATGCATTTACATGGCTGTGTCACTAAATGTACGATAGTGAAAATGACATTTTTCTACTTCACATAAAATCCCTATCTCAAAGTCCAGACTGCTCCTTCCCTGTAGTAGTATGTGGCGAGTATTGCCTTGTTTTTCTTAATGCTTGATATAACTGAGCAAGCTAGTTAAGGGAGTGGTTAGGGCTTTGTGTCCAATCCTGTAGATGGCAGTATAACAGTATATAAATTGCTCTGTCTCTCAAAATGTTTTTTTTTGTAAATTGACATCTGTCCAATATACGCATTTTCTCTATCTTTTCACTTTAGAAAAAAAGGTTGCAAGTAAAGAAATATATCCATTAATCCTGCCAGCAATGTGAGCTCTCAACTTCCTGTAGTGAGCTGATAATGTTGCACACAACAAGCATTGTCATAATAGTGTGAACTCAGCCCTAGGTATTGTTTTCAGTCCCAAACTTGCAATAAACTTCCATCTTGCTTTACAGATGCCTGCAGACTAGGGGTGTGCTCAGGTGTATTGGGCTCCTATTCCGGAGTAATCCCTACCCCACAGGTGCACATATACAAGGTCATGTAAAAGTGCATCTGCTGGGCAGTGACAGTTTCCTGGTAGGATGGCTCATGCAGGTGTAGGTTAGCATCTGAACACACCTGAGCTCATCCCTATTACAGATACTAAGCATTGTACTGCTCTCCATTCAGTAAACAAACTGTCTTCAGTTACAGGCAAATATTTAAAAATTGGACTCCTCACTCCAATGCAGCTGCTGGTAGTTTTCTGCACACCAGTTCTTTGTTTGTCATGCATAGGCAAGTAGCTTGGCCCTGTTTCCATGCCAGAAGTATGCCATTTTAGCCATAACTCTTCCATAAGGACCACTTCTGACCAGACTGTAGATGGATGTACCTGGATCCCATGGGTTTCTGACAATTCTAAGCTGATGGTACCATTGGACATCTTCTGAAGGGACAATAGCAAGAAGTGCTTCATCTGCTGCCTTAGTTGCTCTGACCAACCACCGTGTTTTCAATCTAAAACGTTACCTATTCCATGTGGTTCTGCAGAAAACCTTGGACAATACATCCAAAAACACCTGTATTTCTTGGAAGGTCTGCCTGTGAAGGACCTTGTTGATGCAGTAGAATCACCTTGTGTCTTGTTGCTGTACTTAGTCTATGTCTTCAGTGACTTAAAGTTGGTAGTAGAGCTCCACTTTATTGTACAGGACACAGGCTGTCAGTCATAACGGATGGGTTATAAGCTGTTCCTTCCAGTGATTGGATACTGACAAAGCCACTCAAAGCTCTAACTCCCTCATATAACCCCTTCCACTATGTGATCCCCAGTTCTTTGCCAGTGTACTAGGTGATGGATGTATCTTTCTGGAAGAGAATATAGTAGGAACAGCAATTTCTTTTATCAAGGTAACTTAAAAACTGCATCAAGCCAATGTGGCAGAGGGTGTTAGTTCTTCTGGATTAGTGCCTCTGGCTTAGTGCTGCAGGCTCAGACCCGCATGAAGACAGGAACAAGGGTTGGTGTTTAAGTTGCAAGCAACTGCACTGGATGTGGCACACAGATATACATATAGCATGTGCATCACTGGGGAACCTAGTCCTTGACGATCCCTCCCTCATGGGTGGGGGATATGAGGCTGACTGTATTGGGCAAAGCCATGCAGTGCATGGATTGCAGTGTTTCTTTTCAGGGTGAGGTAACTTGGACATGAGCCCATTCAAAACAGTTTAGAAGAGAGTTGATATGCGGGTCCATTTAGAAGGACCAGCCTCACTCCTGGGAGAGTTGCTCTTACTTAAGTGGATGGTGCCTCCGAATGGTCCACTTGTGGAGCTTGGGCATCATTTTGGATGTTCCTTTGAATGTGTGGCAGAAGAATGGCTGTGAGTATGCCAGAGGGGAAAAATCAGCTAGAGTGGAGGCCTTAAACAAAGAGGGGAGGTGAAAAAGTGGTATGAATGGTCACCTTAAAATATCCCAGATGTTCTGTTTCCAACAGGGGAACAGGGATCTGAGGCTTATCCCCTGATAAGATAATCTAGGATTTTTCCTTGTCCTCAGGGACAGTATCGCCTGAGACTCCACATTCTGTTTGAGCAAAGAGGATTTTTCCTCCCAAATTTCTTCGCTTAGGAGGGAAATGACAAATTTACTTCAAAAGGTGAGTTAAAATAGAGTGAACGTATAGTCCTTTGATTTCTTCACTCCCTTGGTCAGATATGGAGGAGGAGGATGTGACCTGGGAGTGCTAAAACTCAGACACCATTTCGGTGCTTATTGAAGAGTTTTGCAAATGTCTTTAAGTCAGGTCCTTCTGTGTCTGAGGGTCTGAAAGTGACTAGCATTGGTTCCAGGAAACAAAAAAAAAACGGACTGTGTTTCCTGTTCATGCCTTAGTGAATGATGTTTTATGTGAAGATTGTAAACATCCAGAAAAGGTTTACGTTTCTCCTCAGCGCTTTGTTCAACAGTATCCCATTGATAAATTCTGAAAAAATGGGTTGCTCCTGAGGTAGACCCATCTATCTCTTGCCTCAATAAGACTCAGAGTTCTGGTTGAGGAATGACTTAATTTTAGGGATACTGTGGATAAGCTCTTTGAGTCAGGGTTCACGCTGATGCGGTGCAGAATTTGCACCGGTTTCTGCGATTTCCGCATCAAAATTACACCCTGTTCATGCAAACCACTGCGGGTGTGTATGTTAACAACACCCCGAAATCAGCTCGCAAAACTGATTCTGGTGTGGACAAAATGTATGGCTCAAATTGCACCGCACAGAAATTGCATGTGATTTGCACAGGAATGCGATGCGGTTCCTGTGCGAATCATGCGATGTGCTGCACCACATATGTGTGAACCCAGGCTGAAACTGCTAAAGGCTTCTTTTTCTTTAGCTAGTTCAACTGCACAACCAATTGTGGTTGCTATGGTGGTATGTCAGACTTTCTGGGTCTGGGCAGGCACCTGGCTAGGAACCCCGGTAGAATTAGGTATAGCCCCTCCTTCCAGCATTAGCTGGACTTGTTTGCGGCAGCACTACCCAAATGCATGGACAGAATGAGTGATGCACTTCATCAGGTGTCTCATATTTGTATTTCTGTCTACAGATGTGGGAAAGTCTTTGTCTGAAATGCTGGTCAGCTGAGCCTGACTGTTAGAAAAGATTGGAACGGATGCCATTTGAAGACTCCCCTTTGGGGAGTCTTTACATGCCTACATCAAGAAAGTGATAGGTGAGAAGAGTACTCATGCCTAGTAAAAGTGTGAGCAAATTTGCTCAAAGTGGTATCCCAACTTCAGCAGTGATACAGAATCCAAAGGCAGACAGGTATCAGGGGTTCTGCTTGAACCTTTTTAAGGTTCCCAAGCCAAATAGGGAGGTCAGACTCAATTTGGATCTAAAATTGTTATAACCCTTTCTGAAATTTACAAATTTCTGGATGGAATCCATGAGATCAGTTATAGCAGCCCTTTAGATGGAAGGTTTATTGACATGAATAGATATCAAAGATGCATTTTTACACAATCCAGATCTTTCCTCCACATCAAAGTTACCTTTGAAGC